GGGAGGTGCCTGCCGCTTCTGAGGATGGAATGCTGCGGCTGGGTGCCCATCATCTGCCCATTCAGGGCCGAGCAGGGGGTGGGGGCGGGGAGCGGCGGCTGTGGCCGTGGACCCCACCGCAAGGCTGCTGCACGCACACATCTGCCTTCTGCTCTTTTCAGAAGTGAAAGGGAGCCTTTGAGAAGAACTCTGGTGCAGGGCAAGAATCCGGGGCACCATCTCTGGACCCCTAGGCCTCAGGTCCCGAAGGTGGGATTTAAAACAGAAAAACGGCAGGCGCTGGCCTCGGGAAGCCAAGGCAAAAAGATTGCTATGAGTTCCGAGGACAGCCTGTCTTCAAAAAAGAAGGGGGGGCAGGGGGTTAGGTGGAATCAGCCGTGTGGAAAGCCCTGGATTCTTGTTGCTGCATGCTGGGGAGAGATGGGGACATATGAGAAATTCTGCGCTGGCACAGGTGACCACGGGGACTTGCCCCAGCTTCAGAGTTCTTCCTGGGGCTCCCTGGGCTGGGTGAATTTGGCTTGCTGGTAGGGCCCAAGAATGACTGCCCTCACCTGGGGTTTTCTGTAGAGACTCCTAAGGATGGATCTGCCTGTAGCGGATGACAACACAGTTCACTTCAACTCCACCCTCATGGCTTTGATCCGAACAGCCCTGGATATCAAGATTGCTAAGGGTAAGGCAAGCTGTAGACTTAGGGGAGGGTATGTTGGGCCTTGGACTGAAAGCTGGGGCAGCCAGTGATCCCCTCTCCTGGTGGGTTGTCAGAGGGACCACTGTCCTTGTCTTCATTCATGCATCTTTGTAAACATTTACCCTCCAGCCAAAAGGGTGTGGCCCCTTCCTTAACAAAGGAGAACCCCCCCCAGTCTTTGAAGTAGGTATTGCAGTGAGTTGTATGGACTCAGGGAAAAGGAACCCTGGGCTGAGAGCAGCCTGTGAGTAAAATCCAGAGAAGCAGGACTAAGTGGGGCCACACAGGGCCATGCTGAGCTGACTTGACCTTTGAGTAAGGAGACACCCCAGAATCCAGAGAGAAGAGGCCACATGGGAATGGTGTCTCCAGTCTACGGAGACAGCCCAGTGGGAAGAGGTAGGTTGAGGGCCTGTGTGAATCTGACTTCCATACTGTCAAAGCTGGGGCTCACGAAGAAAAGGCAGGCTGGCCAGATGGCTCCGGAAGTAAAGGCACTTGCTGCTAAGCCTGACTGACCTGAATTCAGTGGCTAAATTGTTCTCTCTTCCATATGTGGGCTGTGGCATACATGGTCCGCCCCCCCATGCACACACATACTTGAACAAAAATCATTTTAAGAAATCTCCGAGAGTTCTGGTGACTAAAGTTTTCAGCCCAGAGAGCTGGGATAACACCAGAGCCGCCTCCTCTCTAAGCTCTGCAACCTTTTCCTTACAAACAGAATCTTGTTTATTTGGAGAGTCCAGAAGAGAGTGGAGAGAGGAGGAGGAGGAGGAGGAGACAGTGTGGGCAGCTGGGGAAAGTTGGAGTCCTCAGCTCCAACTTCAGTTCACCACAACCTCTGTCTTTTTTGTTTATTTATTTTCTGACCTCTCTCCCTCTCTTCTTTCTTTTTTTTTTTTTTCTTTATTTTACTTTTTTATTTTTTCGAGACAGGGTTTCTCTGTGTAGCTTTGGAGCTGGTCCTGGAACTCGATCTGCAGAGATCCACCTGTGTCTGCCTCCGGAGTGCTGGGAGTGGCCCTTGGGTCCCTGTCTTTTTTTTTTAATGTAGCAATTTCATCATCTATCCTGCTTGATGCTGTTGATGCCAGCTGAGCAGGTTCCCAGCTCTCATCTCAGTTCTGTCGCTGGTACTTTCACTTAATGCTGACAAATAATTTAGGGATACAAACCAAACCAGGTGGTGGCAGCAACACACTTTTAATCCCAGCAGGCAGATCTCTTGAGTTCAAGGCCAGACTGGACTACAGAGTCCCAGGACAGCAGGGCTACACAGAGAAACCCTCCTGTCTCAACAAAAACAAAGCGAACAAACAAACAAAAAAAGAATTTTAGGAAAGCTCCCATTTTCCCAAAACTTGCTAGAGCTGAATTAGCAAAATTAATAAAACAAGCTAGGGGGGCCGGGCGTTGGTGGCGCACGCCTTTAATCTTAGCACTCGGGAGGCAGAGGCAGTCGGATCTCTGTGAGTTCGAGGCCAGCCTGGTCTACAAAGTGAGTTCCAGGACAGTCTCCAAAACAATACAGAGAAACCCTGTCTCGAAAAAACAAAACAAACAAACAAACAAAAAAACCAGCTAGGGTAACAAGTGATCATTTGTTTCCAAATAGTTCCTTCTCCTGTGAAATTGTTTCACATTTAGTGTCTGCTCTTTGGTTTTAAGACAGGGATTCAGTAGTCCAAGGTTACCTTGAACTGGCTCAGTAGCTGAGGGTGCCCTTGACCTTCTAACCTGCCCCCCCTTCCACATGCTGTGGTCACAGGTGTGCACCCAAGGTTACCTTGAACTGGCTCAGTAGCTGAGGGTTCTAACCTGCCCCCACTTCCGAATGCTGTGGTCACAGGTGTGCACCACACCTGGCTTATGAAGGACTGGAGACAGGTGACCACGTGGCTCATGGTCAGCAAGTAAGTGTGCTTAGAGCCGTCTCTCTACTGTTTCCTCTGGAAATTTCCAACTCTTTATAGTAGCTGGTAGAGTTTTCCTTTTTTCTTTGTTTTACTTTTCATTGTTTTGTCTTTGTTTTGCTTTGTTTTTCAAGACAGGTTTTGTCCCAGAACTCATTCTGTATACTAGGCTGGCCTTGAACCCACAAAGATCCTTCTGCCTCCCAGGTGCTAGGATTTCTTTTTTCTTTCTTCTTTTTTTGGGGGGGGGCAGGTTCTTACTCTTCAGCCCTTGCTGGCCTAGAGCTTGCTATTGTACACCAGGCTAGCTTAAACTCATAGAGCTCTAACTGCCTCTGCTTCCTGAGTGCTAGCATTAAAGACATGGCCACCATGTCCAGCTGGATTTATTTTGAATCAGGTTTTGATTGTGGTTGGTTGGTTGGCTGGCTGGCTGGTTGGCTGGCTGGTTGGCTGGTTGGTTGGTTGGTTGGTTGGCTGGCTGGCTGGCTGGTTGGCTGGTTGGCTGGTTGGTTGGCTGGTTGGTTGGTTGGTTGGTTGGTTGGTTGGCTGGTTGGCTGGTTGGCTGGTTGGTTGGCTGGTTGGCTGGCTGGTTGGCTGGTTGGTTGGCTGGTTGGCTGGTTGGTTGGTTGGTTGGTTGGCTGGCTGGTTGGTTGGTTGGCTGGTTGGCTGGTTGGCTGGCTGGCTGGTTGGCTGGCTGGTTGGTTGGCTGGTTGGTTGGTTGGCTGGTCTGGTTGGCTGGCTGGTTGGCTGGCTGGCTGGTTGGTTGGCTGGTTGGCTGGTTGGTTGGTTGGTTGGTTGGCTGGCTGGCTGGCTGGTTGGCTGGCTGGTTGGTTGGCTGGTTGGCTGGTTGGTTGGCTGGTTGGCTGGTTGGTTGGTTGGTTGGTTGGCTGGCTGGCTGGCTGGCTGGCTGGTTGGTTGGTTGGTTGGTTGGCTGGCTGGCTGGCTGGCTGGCTGGCTGGTTGGTTGGTTGGTTGGTTGGCTGGCTGGCTGGCTGGCTGGCTGGCTGGTTGGCTGGCTGGTTGGTTGGTTGGTTGGCTGGTTGGTTGGTTGGCTGGCTGGCTGGCTGGCTGGTTGGTTGGTTGGTTGGTTGTGACTGGGTCTGGCTATGTAGCTCTGGCTATCTTGGAACTCACTATGTCTGTGGCCACAGTCTGGACTAAACTCACAGAGATCCACCTGTCTCAGCCTCTGAGTGCTGGAATTAAAGGCATGGCCACCATGCCCTGCTGAGGTGTCCTTTGATGGAAGTAGTGTCCTTTAGTAGTGTCTAAGGTTAGCTCTCCCGCTGTGTCTTGGGTTTATGCTGACAACACTGGGTGATTACCTCTGAGGTGTACTCACAAGCAACGCTGTAAGATTCTTTCCAAGCCAGGAATGTGTGTGTTACCTGGGGCTCTCCCATGAGGAGAATGTGCTGTGGGAAGTTCCACCACACTTCCAGCAGGACTTGGGGAAACTTGTGGCTCTTCTCTGGCATTGGCACAATCAGGCTCAGATGCTGTCTAAACTGAAAGAGGTCATGAGAAAAAGGGGCGGGACCAGCAAAGGATCTGCCCTTGTTATGCAGATACTCTGGACACAGTGGTCTTGTTGCTGCCCCTGTTGCTGTGGAAACAACCCAGCAGAAGGAACTTGGAAGAGAAGGCTTTAACTTTAGTTCACAGTTTCAGAGGCTGCAGTTCAGCATGGCAGGGAGACACAGCCACAGGATCAGGAGACTGGCTGATCACATGCACCCACACTCAAAGTGCAGGAAATAGGACTCACCCCCAGCAGCCCACCTTCCCAAACAACACCACTAACTGGTGACAAAGTGATCAAACACATGGGGGATGCTTCATATCAACAGCTGAGAACATCCTTTATTTTATTTTGTTTTTTTAAAGATTTATTTATTTATACAGTGTTCGGCCTGCATTCATGCCTGCAGGCCAGAAGAGGGCACCAGATATCATTGTAGATGGTTGTGAACCACCATGTGGTTTGCTGGGAATTGAACTGAGGACCTCTGGAAGGCCAGCTAGTGCTCTTAACTGCTGAGCCATCTCTCCAGCCTGGCCCACACCTTTAATCCCAGCACTTGGAGGTAAAGGCAGCCTGATCTCTGTGAGTTCAAGGCCAGCCTGGTCTACAGAGTGAGTTCCAAGACAGCCATGGCTACACAGAGAAACCCTGTCTCAAAAAAACAAAAACAAAAACAAAAACATCCGTCTAGGGAGAGATGGCCCAGCCTTTTAGAGCCCTTACAGAGGCTGGTTTCTTTTCCCTGCACTCACACGGTGACTCACGACTATCTCTAACCCCCATCTCAAGGAATCCAATGCCCTCTCCTGGTCTCTGTGTGCACCATCCACACATAGTGCACAGACATACATGGAAGCAAAATATCCATATACACAAAATAAAATTTAAAACAAGAAAGAAAAAGTGACAGAGGACATCATATAAGATAGAGGTGAGTGATAAGTGAACACAAAAGGGACTAAAGACAGTCCTAGACAATTTTGGCTTTTGATTTGCAGCATTCCAACCCTCCACAGTCTTTTGAGTCTGTAAATCCTCAGCACAGGAGGCAGGAAGCTGCAGGTCACAGGGGACACACTGCATCCCAGCTCACACCATAGTGAAGACAGGCCGGCAGCTGGACTGAGGGCATGGAGTGTTCGCGCTGCGTGCCTGAGAATTGAGCTGACAGGATGCCTCCTCCCGTGTGGATGTGCGCTGTGAGGGAGAAAGGATCCAGAGACACCTCAGACGTGAGGCCTGAGCTGCTAAAGTATGGAGCAGCTGCCTCCCACAAGAGACAGGAAGGGCAGGGCGAGATCAGAGGGCAGAGGCCAGCAAGGGGCAGGGCAAGGAGGCAGGCACTGAACGGGGAAAGACTTCCCCAGAATGAGTGGGGCCCAGAGGCCTCAGGCCTGTTATTCCAGCTCCTTGGCAAGCTGAGGCAGGAGGATCACAAGTCCGGGTCTAGCCTTGGCCAACTTGATCAGTTGAGTGAGTCTCTGAAAATAAGAGAACTGGGTAGAGTTCAGTGATAGAGAGCTCCCAGCATGTTCAAAACCCCGAGTTCCATCCCTAGAGAATGACAAAAATGAATACCTTTCTCCTAGACACCAAGCCCAAGGTCCCTTCCATCACTGCAGGAAACTAAGAAAAGGTGGCTAAGGAGAAATCCAGACTCAAAATAGACAGGTGGTGGTGGCGCACGCCTTTAACCCCAGCACTCAGGAGGCAGAGACAGGTGGATCTCTGAGTTTGAAGACAGCATGCTCTACAGAGCGAGTTGCAGGACAGCCAGGGCTACACAGAGAAACCCTGTCTGGAAGCAAGTCAGGGGATTGTGTTACTTTTGATTAGGAGCAAACTCTGTGTGCAATAATCACAAGACAAATAAGGGATCCAGGCCAGGCACTGGGGGTCCAGCTCTCACTGCCCCTGCTGCTTCCTCACTTCCAGGGAGGGGAACCTGCACCAAGCCCCCAATGGAGATTGCTCCCAGGGCTCTTTGCCAGTCGGTTCACCTTTCAAGAGAGCTTGCAACCCGTGACCTCACCTTTTGTTCAGGTCACATTCTCTTCAATACAACTCTGCCCTTTGGGCTAAACCACTCTTTACAACCGAATGGCAGAGCAGTGACAGAATTCCCATATGTCCCTCCTTTTGTCTAGTTAAGAAAGTGCTAATCCAAACATAATAAAACTATGTGAAATAAGAACTATTATCAAATATTGTCCAGGAGCAAGGAAAAGTAATAACCTTTAAAAATTGAGACTACATAGAATCTAAGTTTTGTACTCAATATGTCTTTAGCTAAGATTCTGGAGGATTGTGACTATAACTATCTAGCTTTCAACCTGATAAAAGACCCGGGAAGGAAAAATAATTCCTGAGTAAGTAGGAAGGGCAAGCAAGCGACTTCCAAGAATGTAAGAAATAATAGAAACAGCTGGCCGCCTGGACAGTCACCCGAAGTTACTCTGGAATGTTGGGGTATCCATCTTTGACCTTCAGGCTTGGAATATCTGACAGAGCTTTTTTTAGAAGCAGGAAATTTTGAAAGACTTCCCTACCCTACCTTGGCAAAGTTTGATGGTCACTTTTCTTGTGTTCTGCAAAGTTTGACAGTCACTTTTCTTTGTGTCTTGCTTGTCCAGAATGGATAGTGTATTTACTTTCAGTAGTTGAGGCAAGGGCAGTTTCTTACCCATATGGGGTTTCTTTGATGCCTGTCATCTTCTCTGAAGTAGATCATTTTAGTCAGGAGCAGACCTGGCTCATGTAAAAAAAAAAAACAGCTTCAGTTATTAAAACATTTTAAGTGACATATTCTGTAGGTCTTTGGAGTGTTTGAAGATCACCTGTTTATCTGAAACAGATCTCAGTACACCTAGGAAACCTAAGTAGCATGACTATAAATTTAACAAATATGGGTGACTATTAACCTGTAATTCTTTCTTATCCTAAACAGCTTTTAAGACATAAAATTTCATGTTGTGTAAATAAACAAGCTGTATAGGTAATACCTAAGCAAAAATAAAAACAGATGTTCGCCGGGCATTGGTGGCACACGCCTTTAATCCCAGCACTCAGAAGGCAGAGGCAGGCAGATCTCTATAAGTTCGAGACCAACCTGGTCTACAGAGCGAGTTCCAGGACAGCCTCCAAAACAATACAGAGAAACCCTGTCTCGAAACACTAAAAAGAAAAAAAAAACCCAGATGTACAGTATAAGGACAGTAACCTCAAAATTGTAAAAATATACAAAAATATCTTAAATGGAAGTAGAAACATACAAAAATAATTTTAAATTTGCATCAGTATACAAAAATATCTTTTTATTTTATTTATTTATTATTTAGTATACAGTGTTCTGCCTGCACGCCAGAAGAGGTTGTGATGGTTGTGAGCCACCATGTGGTTGCTGGGAATTGAACTCAGGACCTCTGGAAGATCAGCTAGTGCTCTTAACCTCTGCGCCATCTCTCCAGCCCCCTACAAAAATATATTAAACAACAGTATATACAGTATGACAAAAATAACTTTAAATTTGTATCAGTATACAAAAATATCTCAAATAGAAGTAGAAACACACATACATTATAACACAAATAATCTTGAATTTGTAATAATTTACAAGAATCCATACCAGTGTAAATTATTTAAAAGTGATAATTACTTTTTAGTTTGTAAGTATATTTAATAATCTACCCTTTTATCCTATCATATCTATTCCCCCTTTTTGTATTCCTGAATCTAACCTCTTTTGTTCAGCCCTGCTCTGTAACAACTTATAATAAAAAATCATACAAAATAGAGTAGCCAGCCAGGTGTGCTAGGACACCTGTAGTCTCAGTGCCTAGGAAGCTGGGACAGGGATCTCAGGAATTCAAGGCCAGCCTGGTCTAGAAAGAAAAAAATGTGTTAGGTGGAGAGAGAGGCAAGGACTTGAGGAGCAGTGAGAGGCAGGCAGGAAGAGGAAAGACCCCCTTGTCTTGCACCTGGGGTTCTAGATCTTACTAGAACTAGCAGGTCTTATTCAGTAGGCAGCTGGATGTGTGTCACTGTTTAGGACCCAGCTTCTCCCCACATCACCTCCACCTGCCTCAGCCCAAGCAAACACAAGGGAGTGTTCGTTTTTGTAGTGTAAGCAGGACATTCACATCCTACAGACTCAAAGTCCTTCCTCAGAACCTTGACCTCCACCTCTGTGGACATCAATCTTTTTGTATCAGCTGCTTTGTCACATGCAAAAAACAAGTTTTGTGCCTTAAAACACAAGCACTGTGGCAGGGGAGATAGTTCAGTGAATGAAAGCATTTGCTGTGCAAACATAAGGACCTGAAAATCCACATGCTCAAACACACACACACACACACACACACAACAACAACAACAACAAACCCTAGAGCATTACTGCTCATGTATTCTTGGACAGAAACAGGCAGATCCTGAAAGCCAAAACTGTGAGCTTAGGCTCAGAGAGACTCTGTCTCAAGAGAGTAGACAGAACAACTAGAGAAGGACACCAGGAGTCCAGCATGTGGGGGCCACACCTGTGCACCAAGCATACACCCCACACCTGTGCACAGAGCACACACCACACACCCGTGCACAGAGCACACAACACACACCCGTGCACAGAGCACACAACACACACCTGTGCACAGAGCATACAACACACACCTGTGCACAGAGCACACGCCACACACCCATGCACAGAGCACACACCTGTACATAGAACACACCACACCCCTGTGCACAGAGCACACACCACACACCTGTGCACAGAGCACACCACACATCTGTGCACAGAACACACACCACACCCCTGTGCACAGAGCACATCACACCTGTGCACAGAGCATACCACACACCCGTGCACAGAGCACACACCACACACCCGTGCACAGAGCACACACCCCAACACACAAAGGCTAAAAGGCTGACAACCTGAGTTTGATTCTTGGGATCCACATGGTGGAGAAAGAGAACGACTCCCACAGGTTTCCTCTGATCCCACAGCCTATATTAAATAAAACATACCACTTTTTAAAAATGAGCACTTTAGCACAGGCAGGCACCATATCTCCATGCTCAGTGTCAAGGCTGAGCTCTTCGGGAGATTCCAGAAAGTCCTTTCCAGCTCTATCCACACATGAATGTTGCTCTGTCCAACCACAGTGGAGCTGAAGGGTAAGAGAGGAAGTCTGCTAGGCTGTGGTATGGTTCTAGGCTCCATAATAATTCTATCAGAGCGCAAACCCAAGGAACAGTGGGCCTGGGGAGAGAGCTCAGCAGGTAAGAGCACATGCTGCTCGTGCAGAGGACCTGGGTTTGGTTCACACCTGTAACTCCAGTTCCAGGGGATCTGACATCCTCTTCTGGCCTCCACAGGCACCAGACATGCATACGGTGCACATACATACACACAAACAAGCAAATCACACAAAATAAAAAATAAATCAAATCTTTAAAATACAAAAAATAAAGCCTGGCATGGAGTGTATCTTTAGTGCCAGCATTCAGGAGGCAGAGACAGGTGGGTCTTGTGAGTTTGAGGGCACTCTGATCTACATGGCAAGTTCTGGGCCAACCAGGGCTACATAGTGAGACCCTGTTAAAAATAAGAATAAAATGTAAAGAGATGGTGGGTCCCTCAGCATGCCTCTGTATAGAACATTTGAAACATAGAGACTGAAAGAGAAGTGCGAGCTGGCCCCACATAAGAGCAGTATTGCAGAGAAAACAGCGTGTTCAGAGGCCTTGAAGCAGGGCCATGTGTGGTATGTATGTCTAAGGAACTCCACGGAGTCAGCATGACTGGACCATAGCAAGGGGGAGGGAGAGCAGGCCAACCAGGAGACAGCTCAGTCAGTAAAGCACCTGTCGCCCAAGTGTGGGGACCAGAGCTTAGATCCTCGCTACCCAAATAAAAGTTGGGTGTGGCGGTGCACATCTGTAAACACAGCTCTGGAGAACAGATAGGTGGATCCCTAGAACCCACTTTACCGCCAATGTAGACAAATCATTGAGCTCCAGGCTCGGAGAGACCCTGTCCCAAAAGGCGAGGTGGTGTCCTCAAGAGGTAGCTCAGTAGGCAAAAGGGGCTTGTCACCAGGTCTGAAAATCAGTGTCCAACTCCCCAAACCCATATGGTGGAAACAGCGAACCAACTCTCAAATCAGGCATGTGCAAATGGTTATTTATTTAATATATATGGGTGTTCTGTCTGCATGTATGTCTGTGCATCCTGTGTGTACTTGGTGCCTGCAGAGGCCAGAAGAGGGTATCAGATCCCTTGGGTTCCTGGAGCTTGAGTTACAGGTAGTTGTGGTCCTGGGAACAGAAGTTGGGTCTTTTGCAACAGTAGTATGTGTTCTTAACTGCTGAGCAATTTCTCCAGACCTTAGCAAGCTTTGTTTTTGTTGCTGTTGTTTGGGTTTTTTGCTTGGGTGGTTGGGTTTTTTGTTTTTGTTTTTTGATTTTTTTTCAAGACAGGGTTTCTCTGTATAACAGCTCTGGTTGTTCTGGAACTCACTTTGTAGATCAGGCTGACCTCAAACTCAGAGATACATCAGGTGCTGGGATTAATGATGTGTATCACCATACCTGGCTTCTTTATTTTTTAAGTGTTTGTTAGTTTGTTTTGGCTTATTTTATTTATTTTATGTGCCTATGTCTTCTGCCTGCATGTATGGGTACTGCCTGCATGCAGAAGTCAGAAAAGGACATCAGATCCCCTGGGATTGGAGTTGCAGATCGTTCTGAGCTGCCATGTAGGTGCAGGAATTAAACCTGGGTCTTTTGCAAGAGCAGCAAGTGCTCTTAAACAGTGAGCCAACTCTCAAGTCCTCAACTAGCTTTTCCATACAGCCCAGGACCACCTGCCCAGAGAACTGTTCTGCCCACAGTAGGTTGAGCCCCCTACGCCCATCTGATCTCAGGCGACTCTAGCCAGGCTATGTCAAATTGACAATTAAAGCTAACTGGTATGCTGAAGGAGCCACACTGTCGAGCCTCCAATGTCTAGGACTTCACTCCCATTTCAGGGGCCATGCAGATGGAAGTGAGGGGCCAGGCAGATGTGTCTGTTATGATGAGCGTCATTCTGACAGCCCCAAGGGTTCTGTGGCTCAAACCAAAATGGCTCACTTCCCTGCCTCCTATTTGTGGCTTGGGACTCTGTTGACTAGAGTCCCTTAAAGCAGGCCTGAGGAAGCTAGGTGCCACGGTGCCCGTGATACCAGCACTGCAGAGGCTGAGGCAGGATTACAAGTTCCAGTCCAGCCTGGCTGTTAGTGAGACCCTGCCTCAAAACACCAGAGAGAGGATGGGCTTGAAAAAGACTCTCTGGCCCTACTGTCACTAGCCTTGGTGATGAAGTGAAGGGACACATGGAGGGTCCCCATGCTGTTACTGAATCCTCCAAGTGGCAGGTCACAGTGCTCATGCCCCTGTCTTGAAGGACCACAATCCTGCAGTCCCAACATGGACACACACACACACACACACACACACACACACGTTATGAAAAAAAACTTTACAGCGGGGAAAACTAGCAGCAAACACTAATCGCAGCACTGGGCAGGTGGAGACAAATGAATCCTAGGGTCTCCACTCTCAGTTACCCTAGCCCAATGGTGAATTCCAGTGAGAACTCCTGTTTCAAAAAACAAGGTAAACAGCTGCTGAGGACTGACAGCCAAGGCTCACCTCAACCTCCACATGCATGCGCACAAGTGACACGCACATGCGCACAATATGTATGT